CCTCCCTCAAGTCGGACCTTGATTGTTCTGCCGCTGAACTCGTGTTCGGTGCCACCGTCCGACTTCCCGGTCAGATGATCTCGCCAACCCCGCGAGTTGCAGTTGAGGATCCCACCAACCTCCTGCATCGCCTCCGGCAATTCCTGCGGACACTTTCTCCGGTTCCGCCCAGGCCATCCGTCTCGGAATCTTACCTCGAGAAAGATTTGGCGACATGCTCTCACGTCTATCTCCGATGTGATCGAGTCCGCCGGCCCCTGGAACCACCCTACGACGGCCCCTTCCGAGTTATCTCTCGTGGGACGAAGAACTTCCGCATCCAACGCGGCACTCGCGAGGAGGTCGTGAGCGTGGACCGTCTCAAAGCTGCCTTCCCGGACACTCCTCCGGATGAGCCCTGTGGTCCCCTACCCCCTGCTCCGCCTCCCCGACCCTCTATTCCACCGTCCCGTATACTTCCTCTGCCCTCATGTCCACAACTCCCAACTGCAACTACCCCTTCGTCAACAAACAACACTGTAACCGCGAGCCATACTCACTCTAATCCTGTGCCCCCTGTATATATCACCCGTAGTGGACGCCATGTTCACTTTCCTGACCGTTTCGTTACTCATGTTTTTTAGACATCAACAGTTCCTTCGGTATCGCTACGCGCCACCTTCGGTCTAGCCGGGGGGTACTGTAGCAGTTCGCGTCTCCTCGCTCTCCGCCTTTGTCACGCTGCCCTCCTGTCCGCCTCACACTCCTTATCGATGCGCTGATGGGATGCGCGAGTGCTCGAAGCCAATCAACGCTGCCCCCACTCTGATTGGCTGGCGAGATTGAGACAACGAAGGGCGCACACACGCGCTGATACAACACCTCGAGGGCTGACGCGGACAACAGCTTGCTTGGAGCGCGCTTGCGGCGACTGCCCACACAGCCTTTGTGTACACGCTTTCCAAGCAGTAAAGTTTGTCCAACTCAAACCGTCTTCCCTGACTTTTGATTGGGAATCTTTATCTTGTCGACTACACCACTTCCGACACCCTCAGTCAGCGGAAAGTCAGGTGAAAACCGCGTTCTTTGCGCGTTGTGCCCACAACAGACTGTAATCAGAAGACGAGGTTGCGAGCATACGTAGCTTTCGATAAATTCTCGTCGGGCCAGTACAGTTATATGGGAACGGGGTAGAAGTAAAGCATGCCAACGATAAGACAAATCGATAAACACTCGCTTTAAAAAGCAGGCGGGGTGTGGGGTGTGTGTCTATCGGAAGAAAACCTGGTCTGGACAATGCCCGAACTTCGCAAGTTTCGTACCCCTCCATGTCAGCGATAAGAGAAGTCGATAAACACTCGCCTTAAAACATGGGCAGGGTGTGAGAATGGGGGGGGGGGTGGCGGTAGGGGGCGGGGTAATAGCAGTTAGTGTCAAGGGCGGGGTGAGAGTGGAGGGGCGCGGAGAGTTGCAGCGTTAGTCGACCTTCGACCACTGTAGGCGCGGGGCCTGAACGTGGTTCTTCTGTGCGCATAAGATTGGCTTTCGTAACCTGATGGCGGCTGCTTCTGCTGTTGCTAACAGGCGCTGGCCCAGCAGCTTTGGATAGCTCGATGGGCCCTTATGAATCACACGAAAAACTTCGTTGGGGTTCACACGATGTCCACAATCGACAACATGCGCGAGAATGGCGCTACTCATGCTCCTCGCTTCGCCTTTTCCCAGCCATGCCCGGGGGGTGTTTCCGTATTCTCTTGGATGACCGCCGACTCGTGCGACCAATATAACCTGCTCCACAGGAGCCAGTGAAGGAATAGATGCACATTGAGGTGGTCTGCGGTGGTAACTTATCCTTACCTTCGCGTAAAATAGGGTTAGTAGTGAACGATATTTGAACCCTTGCTGATGGGAAGGTTCGCGAGACAGCTTGATCAAGGCGTCTTCTCAGGAGTTCACGCGCAGCGTCCCCTGGGAAAAGGATTTTGAGGAACAACGTTTTCTTTTCGGCAGTCGGTGTGGCGAGTTTTATCCGTCGTCCGACAATGTTCTTTGCAAAAACCTGTCAGGATACTCGTTTCCGCGAACAAAGTCCCGGATTTTTCTGAATTCCTCCTCGATGCTCTCTGTTGAGAAAATTCTTCTAGCTCTTTGTGCCACTCATCGGACTAGATTTCGTTTTTGTGGGAGGAGTACGAAACTGACGAAGTTCGGGTATTGTCCAGACCAGGTATTCTTCCGATAGACACACACCCGGCCTGTGTTTTAAGGCGAACTTTTATCGATTTCTCTTATCGCTGACGTGTTTTACTTCTACCCCATTCCCATATAACTGTACTGGCCCGACGAAAATTTATCGAAAGCTACGTATTCTCGCCACCTCGTCTTCTGATTACTGCTATGAGAATTTTCGCAACTCTACAACGGACTGTGTCGCGAATGCACTGAACTAAGACAGGGGGCCAGATCGGGTCACGACACACATCAGCTGGGCCGCGCAAAGTCCACACGACCCCATAACAGCTGTCGCACATGAGAGATGCGATATCAGTTTGGGGAAGCTAGATTATTAACTGCGTTGTTGATGCTGGCGACGATGCTGTCAACGGTAGTAACGCTGATGGTTGGGGAGCTGTCGGATATTTGAGGTTGAGGCCATGCGCATGTAGCAGTTTTTGTCTACGTCCAGGCTCCAGTCTGTCGGTCCCACTGCGATGGATTTGCAGGTCCCAGACCAGGCCGATGCGTCATTTGCTTGGGCAGAATGGATTTGCAGTTGTTGTGTTGGTAGCGGTGGCGAGGCTGCTTTCGGTGGTGACGGTGATAGAGTGGCTGTTGGTAGCGGTGGCGGTGGGATAGTTGTCGGATGTGTCAGATGCGTTTGGAATGTGGACATTGCCGCGGATTCCGTTGTCGTGGATGCGTATGTGGTCGGGTAATGACGACAGGATGTGCGTGTGCAGTGTGGACAGTTGAGGCGACTGTGTCGGGGCTCCGAGTAATGGTTCGCCACGCCCAGTGCGTTGAATCCGCAAGTGGCCGAACAGGACTGTGTGCGATGCAAAGGTACGATCGTAATAAGAACAGGTGTGCAGCGAGTCCG